CGTTGTATTCATTTGAATTTATAACTGTTTATAGCCATTGTACTCCATCATTACTAATTTGAATATCTTCTACTTCATCATTACTAATTTGAATATCTTTAACAATTGACGGTTAATACCAGTTGTTCGGGGTGAGTCTTGGTTTAAAGACTGTACGGAATTAAGGGTTGACGGTTAACACCGGTTGTTCAGGGTGAGCCCTGGTTTTGAGAATTCTCACGTAAATTGTGTTGCGAAACTCTAAGATGGCACGGGACTTATTTGAACTCTTTTCGGTATTCGGTTTTGGAATAAGGGTGGATGTGCAGGTGGCACACAGGGAGGTTACTTACCCCTGGCAGACCGTTTCCTTGGGGCAAACCACAGATGCCACTACTTGGGTATATAACTCCGGACGTAGGCATCCCTGGTAGTTACGGTTGGTAACACTTAAATATTTGACCAAAGGAGAGTTTCAAATTAACTGTTGCCATGCTTAGTGGTTGGTAAGTTAAATCTCTTTGGTGAGATTTCGAGTGTCATCTAATTTATAAAAATTACTGAAATTATTCTAATGGTTGTAAATTCTGTATATAATTGTATTGTTATCTCATGTTTAGAATATTATTATTTTTCTCTTAAAAAGAATGGTAGGTTGGTTACGTTTTCTTACTGTGTTGCAAAACTCATGGCATATATTTTGTTGCCCTGGCGTTTCATGCCAGATTATGTCGAAGAAGGGACTGAGGCTGAAATTGGAGCTGCTGCCAATATCGAACCTTGGCTGACTTAAAGTCAATATTTTATCAAAATAAAATCCTGTTATCCCTTGTATTAGGATTTAACTATGTTGTGACATTGTGTGTGAACTTGTAGTTTTATTTTGTCGTTGAACTTTGACTATGTAAGAACTTAAAAGTTCCTAATTAGTAGTTAAAACTTTATCTAGCAAGTTATCGTTATTTAAATCTTATGACGTTTCAAAAAAAAAAAATTTAGGGCGTCACAGGGGCACCCCAAGTTTTGTGAAATGAAGAGTTATAAACAAAATATGCTTTGGCCCAAACCAGCGCGCCGCCAACCGACCGTGCCAGGTTGGGTCCTAACATTAATTTTTTTAACAAAATTTATTTGAATTTTTTTCCAAAATTCTTACAGAAAAATTTGAATTTTGCACCAAACAGTTTAAATTCAAATTTTTGCTTCCAACCAGTGCGACTTTCACACCAATCCGAATGTCTCTTCTATTTTAAACAGATTTAAAACTGCCCAGCAGTTTCCAACAAATCAAACTGGTTTCAAACAGATTTTTGCACCTGTTCAGTTTGAATTTGCATCTGTTCGAATCGTCTCAACAGTTACCAACTATGCCTATAAATATAAAATCATTCCAACAGATTTTCTCAATCAGAAAGATCAATTCTCTCCCCGATTTTGCTTTTTCTTTGCATTATTCTTCATACTAGTTTTTAAAGAAATTTCTAAGAGCATAGAACACAGATTCTAGTTCGCTAAAACAGATTATTATTAGTGCTAATACAATCTGTGAAAGATCATTGTATCTTGGGAGATAGACACCATTATTCCGTAAGTACCTGAGCTGGGCGAATTTCTCTTAAAGACAGAGTGTCACACACTCGACTTGATCATTTTTTTTTTACTCATTTGTTTCAATAAATAAATTTTGTAAGTAATTTATTTTATTTTTTTGGTTTGTTTCACATTATTTTCTCATACACAGAAGATTGTTCCTATAATCTTAAGACAGAATTATTCTGTTTATACAGAATTTTTCATTTGTTTTCTTTTTTTCGTTTCTTCTTCTTACAGAAATTATTTTATGTGCTTATACGAAGTAATATTCTGATTGGAAAATACAAATAGTAGTAATATACTATTTGACAAATAGTACTAATATACTATTTATTTTCTTTGACAACTAGTAATAATATACTGGTTATCATTAACAATTTCAGAATATTCATTTGTGAAGTTTGTCGGAAATTAATTTTGGTTTTCAGAAATAATTTTTGAGTTTTCATTAATTGAAATTCTATTTTCAATATTTTAATTTTTGAAATATTATAGAAATATTTTTTTGTTGGAATTAATTTGTTTAAATAAAATTTATTTTCAAATTAATTGGAAATAAAAGTTACAATTCTTGTTTCTTTTATTTTTACAAAATTAAATTCTATGTTTTTTGTTTAACTTTCTATGTAGTATAAAATTCTAATTATAATTTTGTTTTATAATTTAGAATTCATGGCTACTGAAACTAATGTTCAAACCAATATTGGTATAGAGACTGCAATTGCTCCAACCCCTCCTTCTATTTTGACTATACTAGTTAATCACGATAAAAAGCCAAAGAAGTTCTTAGGAATTGATTTTAAAAGATGACAGGAGGAAATGTTGTTCTATCTTATTTCTCTCAACCTGGCACGTTTTCTATGTGAAAATACTCCTACTCTGAAAGAGGATGAAACCGACCGACAAGTGGTTGC